ACCTAAAGGATTCTATGATTCTATTAGGGTCTGAATGGCAAATCTACATTATAGCTGTTCACATAGGAGGAGTCTGTCTAACACTGTCTACCATACACCAAGACAAATCCATGCTGGAAATGCCCCTTCCTCCATTAACTGTAAAGAAAATATAGATGATAGCTTGGAAACGTCAATGTGTCATCTGAGTCCCACCCAGCTGAGTACTTTGACAGAGGTACTTGAGGCTGTGCTGGACCAGGGCTGACAAGGGCTGGCATCATGTGAGATCAGATTCATAGCAAGCAGGAAGAACCACACTTTTCATCTAAACAAACTGCCTTATCTGAACACACAATAAATACTGGCATTATCTGCTCAAACTTGAAGTGCCTCCAGAAATGAAATAATAAGTGTCTCACAACACCATTTTGCTGTATTTTGCAGCAGAAAATTGAAGTAATAATGTACCATTTTAACAGAAACTTACTTCATTTTTGAGCATTTCAGATTCTGTGTTCCGCTAAATTCTCCAAGGCATATCTCTGTGTACTGTATTAGTGTAACTGTGTCTTTTAAAACAGATCTTTGCTGTTAGTTAACCTGTAATTTTGATTCCTGGAGCAGATGGGTGTTTCTTGTTAGCTACAGAAAGTATTGGGATATCTCGGTGTCCAGAGGTGAATGTGCAGTAGTTGCTACTTTATTTTTACAGCCCCAGTCATGAATTATCCTCATGTGTTATAGTAGACACAAACCAGAAGCCAGGAAAAGTCAGAATAGTACTCGCCTGTCACAGTCAACCTTAACCCAACATCTCACTCCAGACTAATTCATTAGATAATGATTTTTTTTCTCCTTAACTCATTTTAATTTTTGCCAAGCTATGTCTGATTTGGTGAAAATGGTAGAGAATTGCAGCTTGTTTTTTTTTACACTAGAATTTATATTTAAAATAAATTAGGTGACACAGCTAAATGTGAGGAGAATCTGCTAGATTGTTCATTAAATTATCAGCAAGAGAGGTTCAAATGTGATTGGGGATGGATTAAGTGTGGAGAATCTGTGCATAATCGATGTACTTGGTAACCTTGGTAAATTATTAGATAAACTAATCAAATCTAGCTTTCAGGATAAGAAGGGCTTTTTCAGTGTTTTTATAGGGAGCTAGGCCTTTTTCTTCTCTTTTTCTGGTGATTGAGGAAAGATAAAAGGCTATGCTCTTCTGATGAAAGGAGTTTATTGTTATTTATTTATTCATTGGTTGCTCTATACAATTAATCCCTTTGGCATCAATAGGAAACAGCAGATGCTTTGAAGGAGAAATAACAAAACAAAGTACTTTGAGTTGAGTGAAGCTTATATTTATAGCTTGGTACCAAAACCCCACAGTGTTCAGTGTTTGTTTCTCATGCAAATTGGAGTCAGTGGAAAGCAAGTGAAGCAGTTCGGTTGCTGCTCTTAGAGCCAGGCTCCCTGCTGCCTTTTGTCAGCAGCAGGGGCCGTGGCAAACAGTCTAAATCACAATGCACATTCAGATGCCCACTGGGCTGCTTCAGAAAGCTGCCCCGGCATGGCAAAGAGGGGCCTTGCTGGCAGACTCTCACAGGGGACGGAGGCATGGTGCCCCTGTGGTGGCACCCCTCTGCCCTGCTGCTTGCTGAAGGGCCCACGCTCCTCCCAGGGTCTCAACCACAACCTCCACACCCGGCACGGTCAGCTGCTGCCCAGAGGGCTTGAGAAGAGGGGCACTCGTGTGCCCAGCACCCACCTCAGTGAGCACCTACAGCAGCTGGGCACTTGCCTCGGGAGCAGCCAAAGAGATGGGCCCCATTTTTCGTCCCTGACCTCTGCACAGCGCTGGCATGGCTACGGCTTTCCCCCAGGCTTCGCTGCAATTCAGTAAGCTGAGCTTAGGAAATTGCTCTGCCTTCCTGGAGAGAGGGTCCCAGGGAAGCAGTGGGAGGGCATTGGGGGTGATGCCTGCCGCAGAGCAGCTCCTGCACACGTCGGGGGTGAGTGCAAGGCCTGGTGGGTGACACCACCAGCAATTAAAAGTGGTAGTACTTTCAAATTAAAGTTCTTTGTACATGGCCAGCTCTGGTTAATTAATTAGAGCAGATCATTGCTTTAAGCCTGAACAGCTGCCTGTGCTGCAAAGTTAACATTATGTGCTACTAGAGTGGCACTTCTAAGTGAAATCTCCCCAAAGAGGCTATGCCACAAGAACTAACACTATTTTAATCCTAAATAAGAACAGGGACCTGAGGGCTAACAGGCTTTCAGTCATACTGTGGGCTGGTGCACACTGAGTTTTCTTTACTGACAAGCCCCATTTCCCAGCTTAATATCCTAGTGGCAAACAGGAGATTCTCTAATAGATCTTTCTCTTGCAACTAGAGAAAGAGGAAAGAAATCTGGTATTAGCTATTCATCAGTTTTAAGTATTCAGTATCCAGTGTTCATTCAAAATAAATGCACAGTGTACAGTCTAAATTGGAGACAACAGGTTGCTAGAGAGGAGTGGGTAAAATGTACCCAAATTACTTAATATATGGACCTTTGCTAGAGCTGCAATTTCAGATTCCCAGAACTGTGACCCATTTGTGACCCAGAGACCTCTTCTTAATTCATTTGAGAAAATATTTCATTAACTTAAAACCTCAAAAATTCTCATTCAGAAAACAAAAACCTCTTCACTTTTTCATTTTCATTTTATATTCATGTGACTTAGGTGAAAGGTGCCCAGGAGTAAGGACTTGTAATAATGTGAAGAATGAGACCAGCATATGAGCAGGAGGCAGGATTCCCATGTACAGCCAAGTTCAGAATCCTTCCACTAACCATCATTGCGGGCAACTGTTCCTGCACTGTCGGTGTCTCTAGGGAAATTTTACCAGTTTGATTTTGTTCTAATATTTGGATTTTTATTTCACAGGTTAGCTAGATTTTATGACAATTCCAAAATTGGATTATTTTTGTGATTATTTTTGACTGATCTTATCCTATTGCCTCCACTGCTTACCATATGTACACACAGGTGGATTCACATATGCACACACACACACACGTATATGCATACAGGCATGCAAGCGTGTGTGTATATATCTGAATGAGATCTGCCTCGCTATCACCACCTTAATATCAGGTCAGCCCTCATATAATGCTAATTATTTGTCCGGTCCTCCCAGACTATCCTGTTTGTTTACCTATTCCCAACTACACATACAATTTTTCTAGAAAATAACTCATACTCTGCTTATTCCTAAGAGCTAGTCTGTAGATTTATGGGTTATTAGTCACCATGGGATTTGATCAACTAGTCTAATACAGAGGTTTATAACACACAAGATTAAATACCAGCTACTAAACCACGTTTAACACCAAGTAGTATGTAACAAAATAATAACAACAAAACCGCAGTATTAGTTTAAGAAAGTTAGACTAGAGCATCTAATAACACATCAGAAAATAAGAATCAGATCTTTTTTCTTTTTGGAGGAACCTCTGCACATGTTACCTGATTCACACGGTCCTTTATGCTTCATGCTGGTGTTTCTTTTTGTAGCATAAGCCTTGTTGAATTGACAGATGTTCTCATAGGTTTTCCCTTCAGGTCCGCAGATGCTCTCTTGAGACTTGCACACACATTGGGGTTCAAGGACTTCCCCAAATCTTGCTTCATCAGCATCCAGCCTGCACTCGAGGTTGTCCCCACATTGCCCATAAAAATGATTGCCCTGGTCCAAGTCGCAGATCTGGCCTTCCACGTTTCCACATTCAGGACAGCAGCTGCAGCGGTCCAGGACGGTCCCGGCTGGACAGTCTTTAGGCTCAGGGCAAAGCAACAAATCGCACTTCCCACAGCTGTCCCCGTCCTTTAACAGCCGCCACCAGCCTCGGTGGTACAAGGCAGGGAAGCCCTGAGAAACCTGCACCAGTGCTACCAGCACTGCTGTAACCATCGGCTGCTTCATCTTGAGAATGTCACAAACGAGCAGGAAAAGTCCTTGGAGTGAAGCCAGAGGAAAAAAGAAAGGAAAAAAACAAAACAAAACAAAACAAAACCCAGAAGAGTGAGCTAGCAAGAGGAAAACATCCACAATCCTTTATTTGGTTTAGAATATAAATTCTACTGCAAACATAGTCTTTAAGGAGAACTTAGCATCAGATCTGGAACTGACAGTAAAAATGCATAAACCCCACTGGCTTTTCTCTAATGCAGTTTGGAATGTGAGTATTGCTTGCACAGAAACCAAACTGCCCCTTCTGACAGCTGGGTTGAAGCTCTCTGAAAAGCTGTTTGCTCAGTGTCTCCTTGAGCCAAATTTGCAAAGCATTGCTCTACTGAAACAACGTTATATTGCAGCTCTTGTACAAAGGGGAACAGAGCAAATTAGTGTTAAATTAAGAAATTAACTGCTATAAGGTTTTTTCTCTTTCACCTCATCAATTCAAAAAGACAGTCACAAAAAGACAAATAGGGGCACAATGTAGCACTCAAGATACAAGTACCCTAGCGCTGAGCCAGTGCTCTAGAGACTGGAGAAAGCTTAAACACCAAACTTCATCCATTTAAAATCACAGCTGAGGGGTTCTGAATTAACAGTTTGCTTACAGGCTGTTTACAAGCAAGAGACAATCCAAGACAGCTGGAATTGACTTAAAACTCATGGATTTGAGAGGAGAGGTACGTGCAGACCCATTGAAGAACTTCTTGTTCTCTCGACATGTAGCTGCTTTTCAGTTTAGGTTTATGGGTGTCTGTGGTTTGCGGTCCATGGTTGGCTCTAAGAAGTGCAGAAGGTTTAGAACAGACAAGCAGAAGTGAGCCACTACAGCACCTTCAGACACTCCAGAAGGTTTTGCTGAAGTATTAGATACATCACTTGTCTTTTCATGGCACATTTCTGCCTTCATTTCTTAAGATATACTGAGAGCTATGAAGGAGGATGAAAGTGGTAACTCTGATTTCTTTTCCCATGCATAAATTTCTGCCAGTTCAGGTAGAGGGGCTTGCAGGGTCATTTCTCGCCATGTGTTGCACTTTGTACATCTTGGGATTTAGGCGTTCTCCTAATCGCCCTACCTCGTACCGGGAAACTTCTTCCCTGCAGTGCAGAGGAGATTTCTTGCCCATAGACCACTGTTCAAGCCACCTGTAGCTTGGCAGAGATGCATCTCACTGTCTGCTGGAGGTAGAAGTGAGGCGTAGTGGACTTAGAGACCCTGCAAGTGTAGCTCAGTAGCATGGTCAAGGGTCACCACTCCCTGCAAACCAAACATCTTTGTGTGCTAGCTTAAAATAACTCTACGTTCATCGCATCTTCGAGACGTACATATAAGACACTGTTAATGAGGTGAAATGAGAGAGGACTCATGCTTGTATCTCCTTGTCTGAAATTGTCCACAAGCAGCTTTTTATGCTCTTTTTATATTTATGGTGCTTAGATGATTACATAAGCTCAGTGAAAGACATTTCATTGCACCAGCCTTACATCCTCTGTTCACATCCACAAAGGCAAAACTTTTGGGGACATATATTTACTCCCCATCGCAAACATCTCCATGACTTTCCCACCTTCACCTTCATACCTTCTGCACCAGTTGAGATTGCCTCTTGCTTTAAGCAAAGCAGCAAAGCTTCAAAATCCCTTCCTCCTCCCAAACTGCTTGTAATGCAATTTTCCTCCAGCCTACATTGGTGGAGTGCTTCTGAAAGCCAGCCTGGAGAGACTGGCAGGGTACTGCTTATTTCTGTGATGCCCGGGCTAATTCATGTTCTATAATGCTTGTTTTTGCTTTGAACACAGAATCAGACTGTAATGGAGTAAATTATGTGTGTAATTGATGCTTTTAACATTGAGAGTCAGATAAAAAGTAACCACTCGATTTAATAGGAAATTGATTTCTTGTCCCACCTTCTTATTCTGTTTAATGTATTTTATTTCACACTTCCTCATCAAATTCTAATTGGACATTTAGTTTTGCATTATAGGGTCTACTCATCACTGTCTTATTTTATTATTTGTGCCTGCAGCTGTAGGGGATGAGTATCTAGAGGACCCAGATCCACTAGGCTCATATAAAGTATAAAAATGTTTACAGTGGTGAAACCATACATGCAAAGCAGAGCCAAAGCAGGGAGGGGCTGTGAGGCAGCACTGCCCCTGTTAAGGCTGAGCTCAGGAAATGTATGATTTGAGGGCTATGAAACATAAGTATACAAGGAGGTACCTCTTGTGTCCTGGCACTGAGGAAACCCATCGTAAATATCCTAGAAAGCATTTTTGGCTTTTATCCAACTAACATAATCCAAGTTCTTGGAGGGTTTAGTCTCTAAATGAAGAATTGAATATGCCTGTGGTCTGTTCGAACATCTGCCCCTTGGCAGCTGACCTACAGCTGAAAGTTATTTGGCCACGGATTCATGGACACACGTGGAACAAACTGGGGCAGGGAGAGGTTAAAGCACTGTGCTATGATGAGGAGAAATGGCCTGATAGGTGTCTGAAATGGCTTTCATTGGCAAGGCAGCTATGAGAGGCTTAGGAGAGCCTTGCTGTAACTCCACACGGGGTGGATGTGTGGCAGGGTCAGAGCAAGGGGGACAAAGTGGGAGCAAGGAAAGAGAGTGGGATGTGCAGCTGGGTTTGAAGGAGAACATCTAAAGGCATAGTCCTATCTGGTTCAGTAATGACATATGCATTATTTCAGTATGTCTCTAATCCCTGAAGCTTGATTTGGTGGGTAACCCTAAATATCTCCCAGAACACAACACAAACAGCAGTGGAATAATGTCCCTGGTGGGGCAGCAAGACAGGCACCAAAGTACTCTGTCTGTTTTTCAGCCCCCTTCACCCAGATGCTGCCTGGAGAGCTGAGGAGGCCTCCCTGACCCTCCAGCGAGGGGAGGAGGTGAGCGGCTGCAGACCATGAGGGCAGGTTTCTACCATCAGCTGTGAAGCAATGTTTTGGTGAACAATTTCTGTAGCAGGCAGGTTGAACAGCATCTGTGTGCCCTTGGTCTCAGCAGGCACACTAGTGCTGGCTGCACAGCAATGTCCCTGCCTTTTCCTGCGTATTTCCATATAGTGTGATCTGTGCAAGGAGTCCTGCCACCATCTCATGGGAGGGGCACTACCCAAGCTGGATGATGGGCAGTGAGGGGACATGGCAGAACAGCTTCTTGTACCCTCAGACTGCATCTTCCATCAGCACATGGCAAGGTCTTGCAGAGTAATTCTTGTAAGTGAATTGTTAAGGAAATTGTATTCCTATTCATTTCCTGCTTTTTCTTGGGGCCAGGTGTTATGCTAAGTTACTCACTTGTATTGCATTATTCTACTTTGCATGGTAATGGATAAGGTACATGGCTGATGCAACTTGAAATCCTATTGCTAGTGATTCTGCAGATACTGCTTTTTCAGACAAAACATGGTTCCACTCCTCATTCTGTTTTTATTTCTGTCAAAGTGAGTTTTACTCAAGTAAGGGCTTCTGAATCTGAATTTGTGCCCCGTCTACGTTTTCTGTCCTGTAATGGTCCCTCTCCCTGAAGAGGTGAAGCCAAATTTGGAAACTATAGTGCTCTATCTCTTAGGTTGTATTAAATACTTGTTATTGAGGTTCCCTTAGAGAGGGTAGATCTTGGCTGACTCAATGTGTTTTTAACAAAGAAACTTTATACTCATGTGCACAAAAGAAGCATTAAAGAAAATGAATGTTTAGAGTGGCTAATAGCAGACTAGAGGTGGCTGTGCCTGTTGGGTATATGCATTACCTGATACTGTTCCAAACTCCTAGGATAATTTTTCCCTGCACAGTATCCAGAATTAAGCTTCAGCTGAGGTGCTCAGCTCACCTGAAAACAGCATTTGGTTTTCTAGAAATAAGTGGCAAAGTCACAAAAAGTGGGAGGTCAGTGGCAGATGAGGCAAAAGCGTTTGGGTGGCATTTGCAGGTTCCCAACAGCACTGCTGCCCAGCAGCGACAGAGGCACGGGCAAGTCCTGGGATCTCCAAACATTGCCTCTTTTGGTGCCAGTCCTGTTTACTGGCACATGGCTTTCATGAGTGCTGTAAGCACATGGCGTATAAGTTAATACTATTGTAACATGATTATTAAATCAATTAATCACAGGCAAGAGATCCGTAATTAACTTATTCTCCAGCATCAAGTAAATGATTCTGCTGTGAGCTTTAAGAAAGCAATTGTTCATTAATATGCAAAATACAATGGGGCTATTAGACTATGAGGCTTTGCAATTGTATAATTAAATTATAAATTTTGCATATTTTAATAACATAGATTTTAATTATTGTCTTTGTAAAGTTAAAATGGAGGATCATTATTTTTGCCTTTTTTTTTTTTTTTTTAAGGTTTTACATGGAATTTGCCAAAAAAATGGGGAGGGGAAAAAAAAAAAGTCAGTGTCTGTGTCCTGCCTGTAAGTTGACTGTTTCCAGGTGAGGCTTTGGCCAGCCAAGCTTTTGGAGACTCCACTTGGACCTGGCTCCAGCAGTGGCAGATTATAGATTACTGCTGTTTCAGATTTCAGCATTATTGCTTTTGCTGACTGTCTGCATTCACATTTTAACTTGTGAAGCCAAAGAAGGCCTACTAGTGCTGTTCTAGTACTGAGTGCTTGGGTCTGATTTCATATATATTTCATACTCCTTTTCACAACTAGCCTAGATATCCCCTTCCTCAGGCTAGTATTTCCTTCCATGGGGCCAGGTATTTCAAGGGTGCTTTTCAAGCCTGCTTCACATCTCTGCTATCCTTTAAATAGACCACATTTCTGAAAGCTTTGTAGTTTTACCCAGAAACACCTGAGCCTCCTGTCCCATAACAGGAAGGTGATACTCTTTAGGGAGCCAGCAGCAGATAAACAAGTGTTTCTGTGAAGCTTCTTTTGAGAAGTGAGAGTTACAGTGAGAAGACTTGCCCAGAAAGTAGCATTTCCCCCATCTGT